AACAGTTGGCCTGTATCTCTAGCCAGTGTAAAGTCTTAGTAGCTGGTAAGCAAACACAACTGCAGTTAGGGTCCAGGCTTAGACATATCAAGCAAGCTGGGAAAGAAGGACACAGTTGCAGAAGGAGGACCTCATGAGAGAATCCAACATCAAAGATGCCTGAGTGTGCAGTGTAGCCCCAGACAAGGGGCTCAGGAGATCATGATTTCAGGGATAGGGTGGTGACTGTTGGTGGACCGCCACCATGTCCACAGGGTGTGTGTGTGTGTGTGTGTGTGTGTGTGTGTGTGTGTACATTATAAAGAAATAAGTCAAGTTTAGGGAAGAATGAAATATGTAGCACCCAAAGGCTCAAGAAAATCTGGTGAAGAGTCCCTTCAGTAAAGGAAACATGGGAGAGAGAAGAAAGCCAGTCTCAAGCTTGAAAGAAAAATCACAAATCCTTTGAGTTAGTGTACCAGGTTGTATGTTGAAGAAAAGCTCAGGAAAGTTTTAGCAAAAGAATTTCAGGGTTAGGACTGAACAGCAGGCTGAAGAACTCTCAGAGAGCAGCCTGGGCAAGTGGAGGTGGAGAGTGGTCAAGTGGTCAGCAGGAGGAGACAAAACCAGGAGTCAGAGTAGGACGATTCTGGGCAATGCTCCCTGGCAATCATTATATGCCAGTTACTTTGCTGAAAGCCTCACAAGCATTGATTCCTTCCCCCTTTTCCACAACCTTGTGAGCTAGGTATGGGTACAATTGTTATCCCATTTTATAGATGGCAAAACCAAAATGTAGAGAGTCTGTCCAAGGTCCTTTAGGGCAAAGCCAGAGTGTAAACCTTGGGAATCTAGCCCTTGCACTGTGTCCTCAACCAGAAGCTCAGCCCAGTGACACTGGTGGGGGTTTACCCAAAGACCCGCCCCACATAGAAGCAAGAGGAGCATCAGAAGAGCTCCGCCTGCAGTTGCTGGTGAAGCTCTTCAAACCAGGCAACTTTCACTTGAAATTGTAACTTCATTTTCCCGGGAGACATTGATCAGTTTGTAGCAGTCATGACTGCACAGCCGTGTAAAGGGGCTGCCAAAGTTCCCTGTGCTCCAGATGTTCCAGCAAAGGCTGGCCTATTATTCATCAGGAAAGTCATGAAAGGATTTATATAATCCCTTAGTGTATTTGCAAAATCAGGCAGGAATGATTTTTAGCTGTTTACTCTTTTGTTAGCCTTCATTTCTTCCTCTCCTCGCCTCCAAAGGCTGGCTCCAACCTAATTCTATAATCCCACCTAGTCAGTGAACTTCTAGGCCATAATCATTTTCATCCTGAAATAAACTTGCCTTCACCATCATTATACTCAGGAGCCATGAAGCCTCCAAAGTGCCGGGAGCACCACAATGATGACTCTCTCCTCCCGGATGCCCCGTAAGCCTTGCTTACTTATAGCTGTGAAGTATTTTGAGAAACTTGAATTAAAGTGCTAGAGAAAGCACAACACACATTTATTACTCATCTTGGAAAGACAACAGCAATAAGCTTCCAAAGATATCTTTGATTAACATAATCTGGGTTACTGAATATGGATATTGTCAATAGTCACCTAGAAGCATGTTTTCTTTTGTGCATTTTGTTGTCTCCTGTAAATTTCCTACCAGGAAAGGAAAGGCCTCATGCTCCTATTTGCATCAATAAAGCAAGAGCTCAGAGGAATTGCATAGAGGGAATTAAGCTGGGAAGGGATTCTAGCCACCCTCAACCTTTGTTCTAGGGAATTCGCCACATTTTCGCCACTATTTCTAATTATTAGAAATATGAAATGTAAATAGAAGCTGTTGCCTCCCTAGTAAGCCTGGGTGTATTGTTGTGTCCTTGTAACAGTTCCTATGAAGGGCTCCCCCCGCCTGCAAGTGTCCTAGGGGGTTGTCTCCAGACAGAACAGCCTCCACACACATTGCCTGCTGAGCAGAGGTAACCACAGACCCTGCCACCAGCCCAGGATGGGACGAAAGACAGGATTACTTGTCACACTCATGGTCCCCAGAGGAAATGGTCACAACTGGTTTTACACTCCTAGCACTCATCAGCCCTTAGTAGATGATCCCTAGAAATCCAGGAGTCCAGACATGAACTCTGCAAGTAGACACACATAGTCCAGTTCTGGCTCTGCCCTTGAAGACCTCTGTGACCTTGAACAAGTGGTCGAATCTCTCCTCACCTTCATCACCTCATCTGCAAAGGTGAATTTGTTGTGAGGATTAAATACATGGGTGAGATACACTAAGCCTCCCCCTTATCCTGTGCATGTCACACTCACTTCCAACAATACATCTGCAAGGACCCTACTTCCAAACAAGGTTCATCTTCTGAGATTACCTAGGGATTAGGACTTCACCATTTGAATTTGGAAGGACACAGCTCAGTGCTAACATACCCGTTGCAAGTGGCCTATCTCTATTCATCAACCTGTGTGCTGCTTTTTCTCTCCTTGCCAAACATCAGCACCTGGAGAGCAGGACCTTGCATGTCAATTTTATCCTAAAAACTGATCCCCTAAAGCCAGGATATGACATAGAAGGTTCTGGGGATATTTTTTGGATGAACGAATGAATGAACCAAAGCAAGTCAACAAGCCAACTTTCTGCATAAGGAAAACATTGACGTCATAATAGTGAAGTGGCTCTTCAGTTATTAAGAACAATATGTCCAAACTAAGGATGTGGGGAAACTTTCAAATATATTGTTTAAGAAAACAAATAAGTTTCAAACTATAATAAATGGTAAATCTCTTTTATTTAAAAAATACAAATTTTATACATTCTAATAGAAGTGTGTACATGCTTTATAGAAAAGAATCTGAAAGAATACAAATCAAGTGTTAATGATGAGTTGGTGCTAGGTGGGCAGCAGTCTACTAACTTATGTGGTTTTCATTATTTTTGTTGTCTAGTTTTCTACAATAGATATGCTAAGCTTTTTAGCAAGAAAAATAATAATAAAAGACAAAGCAAAATAAAGCTCCTCCCTTGTGGCATGATTCAGGCATCATCATCTCTCATCAGTGTAGCCCAGAGCCAGTCACCTAGCTGGCACACAACAGATGCTCTGCAGATAGCTGGGTGAATTCAGTAGATGTGTGTACTCATTTCCATATAAGAAGGACCCTACACACCGGTTCTCAAAGCCTCCCCCAACTACATGTCATGGTCTCACAGCTTTGGAAAGAAAATTAAAAGGTGATAAAGAGGGCAATAAGAAAAGGTGACGGAGGAGGGAGAGAGGAAGGGAAGGGAGTGAGGAGAGGAGAAAGAAGAGGAATGTAGATACTCTAAGCTGTAGGAGGAAATTAAACCAGAATGGTTGCCACCCAACCCCTGTAAACCAAACTGTCATATTCCACCTGATTCCCCTAATTATTTGCAAAGCCTTCAGAAAGGAACAAGTGCTATATTAAGTGCTAAGTAGCATTAATTAATAACACTAAATTATGCAGGGAAGTACCTATTATACACATGAATGCCATAGGCATATGAGTAGAGGTAGAGTACTTTATAAATGTTTGGCTACATTTCAAAATTCTTCTTAGAGTTTATACAGTTTCTGGATTCCAAAGAAAGCAGTTTTATAAGATATTTTTCTTTTCTCATTTGACAAAACTTTAGAGACCTCTTAACTAACACCAGAGTTCTCAACTTCATCCATCTCAACATTCTTTTTTTTACAATGAATATTTTGTCAAACCACTCTTTAGTATCCTGAAGTGAAATTCATAGAGAACTTACCATACCCAACATGTTTCAACATGTGAGCACCCAGTCATATCCAAATGAAGTTGCCAGACACTTGCATTATACAAAGAATCACTGCAAATATGCCATCTCCAGATGACAGACTGTCACGGAGGTGCTGCATGAGAGATACGATACCACGAGTAGCGTTGCTATGGAAGCCTGAGCCTCCTGAAATGATGGCAGAGTCTTCATATGTCACAAACTAAACAAACTAAGACCTCTCTTTGATGTATTCCCTAGCTGCTTTTCTAAACAACTCAACATACTTATATGCTAAATCTACCAAGAATGTTCTGGGCATTTATATTTAAAACAGAATCAATTCTAGGTCCAGATCATCATCACCAGGATGTCCATTGACAGAAATGTCTGGCAAGATATTCGAAAGATGCGTGTCATTGTCCTATACTATCTCAGACCTACCCCCAAGTGTCAAGAGAACTCCTCACCGCTTTAGTCTTCCAGGCCAAAAAAAAAGTAATTTTCACTTGAAAGCAGAGTTCAAAACAACTTATGGGTAGCGTGGTTCCTCTTGAGAAACATAGGTCTAATCTTACATTCTTATGTAAAAAAAAAAAAAAAAAAAACAATGAGCATACTGTGTCCTCAAAGAACATGCCCAAGAATCAAATAAGTCTTGGTAGAGCTAAGTAAGAAGTGCTTAGAGCTGGACATGTGAGCACTTTCCCATGTGCCACACATTTTCTTAAACTCCTTATGGACCTGCACTTATCTGGTCTTCAACACTAGAAGGGAGATTTCACCATTCCCTGGATGGCTGAAACTGAAGCTCAAAGAAGTGAAATAGCCTTAGCCAGGGCCACAAAACAGTAACCAATGGACCTGTTCCTCAAGACTAACTATGCAACTTGATGTGAGCTTCACACTGTTGTTTAGAATGGAGAAGAAACACCAACTGGAAAAGGAACCTCCCATATGAGCAGAAAAGATAGAGCTGTTTCTACCAGCTCAGGATGTTAACCTTCAACCATGCCTTCAAGTCATATTTTGTTTCCTGCCTGGTCTCATCTTCTCTTTTCTTGTGCTTTTCCTACAGATATTCATGCCCAGGAGAAGGCTGCTGTGGGTCCCTCTGGACTTTTCCTAAGCAGGAGATCCCCATTCACTAGATGACTTCCAGAAGTATCCACTGAGGCTTCTGCAGCCCTCCTCCATCAGCCGAGCTTGACTGCAAGCCCCACCACTCAAGATGAGTGGCTTCCTGGCCTCGCTGGATCCCCGGCGGGTGCAGTGGGGGGCTGCCTGGTACGCCATGCACTCCAGGATCCTGCGTACCAAACCAGTGGAGTCCATGCTGGAGGGCACTGGGGCCACCACGGCACATGGCACCAAGCTGGCCCAGGTGCTCACCACTGTGGACCTCATCTCTCTTGGAGTCGGCAGCTGCGTGGGCACTGGCATGTATGTGGTGTCTGGCCTGGTGGCCAAGGAAATGGCAGGGCCTGGTGTCATTGTGTCCTTCATCATTGCTGCAGTCGCATCTATACTATCAGGTAAGCGTCTCAGGGAAAGGAAGTCCTCTGCGAAGTATGCCTAGGCCTGGTTACTGCCTGTCCAGCTTTGCTAGACTGTTGAGTGAAGAGATGTATGAAGCAGCAGAAAAGAGGTTTCTTGTCCTCCCCTTTTGCCTCTACTTCCAGGAAGATCAGGGCTAGGTTTCTGACTCACTTCTAGTAGTTTCCTTTTCTTTTCTTTTTTCAATAAAAATATTTATTTAGTGCCCCAGATGTTTCCCAGCTTCTCACTCCCCGTTATACTCGAGTGACTCTATTTTTATTTTAACTCTGCCCTTCATTGAAAAAAATGTCAAACCTCAGAAGGAAGGGTAGATGACATAGCTAGGATAAAAATAGTGAAGAAAGATAGGCAGAATGACAGAATGACAAGTCCATAATGCTGACATGATTAGGATTTGATAAGCTTCAAACTGGCATTGTGCCTCACAGTGAGAAGGAAGCCAAGCTAGGAGATTCAAAGACTGTGAGAATCACAAAGTGCCATCTGTCACAGCTATCGCAGCAGACTGATCATCCACAGAGGTAGGTCTCTTAGAGCCTTCTCTCCCCTAGAGAGAATGGTGAAACTCACTTTTTTAAAGGAAGGTGCTAAGCCAAGCATATTGACAGTTGTGCAATGGCTCTCCCTTCGCCTCTCCTCCTCCTTGCCTATTCTCCAGAGACGCAATCCTCAGTACTTTCCTGGAATGTGAGGAGGAGGCCAAAGGGTAGCTTTAGAAAAGAAGACAGAGGAAAATTCCCTGCTCCTTGATGGCTACGCTGCAACAGCATGAGGTCTTGCGGGGTTTGAGGTGACCGATCCTGTGGGTCCACCTCACCCTGGCAGTGAGTTTGGTTCCTTGGAATGTTTTAGAAGAATTCTAATTTATCAGGAATTCTGACTGAATATAGTACACACCATCACAAGCAAGCCACTGCACCAACTCTATTCATCTATATTAAGTAGTCTTCATTCATGTATGATGCAAAGATAATCTACAAACATGGAACTGAAAAGTATGCAGGTTCATAGTTGGTATCTTCATGTGTGCATGTGCATGTGAGTATGTGTGACTCTGTGTGTGTGTGTGTGTGTGTGTGTGTGTGTGTGTATACATGTGAATGGTACTGGGGTCTGAATCCAGGTGTTCTACTTAAGCTATGTCTCTCTGTCTCCAACCAATTGTTTTTTAGATAGGGTCTTACTAAATTGTTAAACTGCCCAGACTAGACTCAAGCTTGCAGTCCTCTTGCCTTAGCCTCCCAGAATGCTATATATGTGTAACACCATCCCCAGGTGACTTCACTTTTAATTTGACAAGGAAACAATCTGGGATGTCTAATCTTCTCTGTTAGTTTTCCAACTATTCCTTCTTCCTGAAGTCAATCTCTCATATGCATGAGTATTCTAATATTTGAACTTTCTGCAGAATATTTTTCTCCATTATAGGTGAAAATAAATGGTTCACATGACCAAATGTTGTAGATACTTTAAGTTCTATTAATGAGAATAGAATTTCTTGACATGGATTCACATATCTAAAAGTGTTATCATAACCAAACATGGTGGTGTGTGCCTGTACATAGTTTCAGCTATTCAGAGCACTGAGGCAGGAGAATTGTGAGTTGAGGCTGGCCTGGCAACTGTCCCCTCCAAAAAACCAACTAAAAGGATAGGAACATAACTTAGTAGTAGAGCGTTTGCATGGCACTCATGAATTCTGGGGTTCAGTCCGTATTTCTACCAAAAGAAAAACGATTATCACATAGAACAGATCAGACATGATAGGATAAAAAGCAAACAGGTAACTAGGGGACACAGGACAAACGTCTTGCTTGCTAAATGAAGATGATACCATTTTCTCTAGAGCCCATCCAGTTTTTGCTCAGTCCTCAGAACATGGTTCCTGTGAACAAGTAACCTGGGTCTTATCCACAGGGCTACATAACATCTAGAAAGGAGAACAGGGTCCGGCAGCAAGCTGGGAACCTGCTCCCTGCATCAGTGCTCCTGAGCACTGCAGGTACAACCTCCACTTTTCCACTGCTCGGATGGACAGCCTGGGCTTGGCCAAGCTAGTGTTGTGCAGGAGCCACATTGTGCCAGCTGCCAAGAGCCATGAATGTGTGCACCTCTTTCCACCTCCACAGCGCTGTCTCATAGTTGGCCTCAACTTACCTACGAGGGGACTGAACATTCACTGTTGTTGTTACCTTTTTCCAGAAAGCCAGTTGTTCCCCAGACATCATTAGCCCCACTCTACCATAGGCCCTGGCACTGCCACATAACTGGTGCCTTCACCACTGTACCAGGCACCAGAAAAGCAAAGAGACAGGATGCCCCTCTCTAAGTAGGCCTCCATCCATAACACCACTCTGTACTTCATGACTGACCCATCTGCATGCTGAGCCCAACCAGCACCCTCCCAGAATCCCCAGCAAAGGTCAGAACTCATAAACAACTTGTACCAAGTTGGTGTGTTTCGAGTAGGTTTCTTCAACCAGGACTCTCAGTCCTGTGACCCTTAGTCACTGAAGTCCCCTCCTCCCCTAGTGCCTTCTTTCTACTGCTCTGTCACATTCCCCAGATTGCATCCCTGTAGACCAAACTTCCTACTGCTTCTCCAGAGCACAGTAATCAAAATTCCTTTTTTTTTTCTTCCCTTGTTGATACACGGGCCTTTTCTCCTCCTGGAATTCATTAAAACCTGGCTTACCTGAAAGAAAGTCCAATCTCCACAGCTGTGGAATTACATTTGGCAATAGTGACTGCTTAGTTGCAAGAATAAAGTGAAGAAAAATATTAGAATAACTAGATTCTGCATTTTCCAAGCAGAGGAAGAAATGAGCAAGGAGGTTAAGATATTTGCAAAAAAAAAGTAAAGTGTGCTAAACTGTATAATGCAGGCTGAATAAGGAGGGAAGTGAAAACATGAGTGTTGATGATTCATGAAAAGTTGTGGGATCAGGAGAAATTGGAGTTTTCACTGAGGTCAAGAAGTCATTGGAGGCCTTTCAGTCCTCTCCTGCGTGAGAGCAGACCCGGGCCCTGAGCTCAGGAATAAACGTCTTTCCAAATTCCAATTTGGTTGATTTGGTTGATCCTATCCTGAGTGACACATAACATTTGGGGGCTCGTCCAGGATCCCCTTTACTGGGGATCAATCTGAGGAACCAGAGTTTTCTGAAACCACTTCCTGAGAGGAGACTTTCTGGCCCCAGGGTGGTCTCCGAAAACTTACAAATATTATCATTCGAAACTCTGAGCTTTCTGTCCAGAGAGTCATCTTTGGAAATCTGGGACACCCTGACCAGGTCACTTACATTCAGGCTTGGATTGATCTTGCCCATGAACCTCTGAAATGACTCAAGGATTAGTGTCCCAGACACCGTTCCCGGAGGACCAAGGCCAATCCCACGTGGTCGCACTGGCAGTTCCAACTGATAAGAAGCGGCTGTGACCCCCGACCATCACCCTCAGAGCCCGCTTATTCTGCCTGCCACCCGGGAAGAAGCAAGAACGATCATCAATGGCAAACGGCAGTTACAGCAAGACAACATCGAGAGCCAGCTTCACGCTCAGGAAGGAACGCTACTCCTCCTCCTCGTGGTTTCTGGTTTTAAAACCCCCTCCTGCTTCCTGGGCTGCCTCCTTTCAGTCCTGAGCTCAGTAATAAACGGTTTTCCAAATTCCAATCTGGTTGATCTGGTTCCTGTCCTGAGTAACCCATAACAAGTACCTCAGCTCTGCCTTCAGGAGCCACGAATGTGAAGCAGTCAGGCCTGTGAGTGATTTCCTTCTGTTACTATTCTCTGCAGTTAATTCTGAGACAACTGAAGATTCTCCCCATATTACTGTGTAAGAGAAGAAGAGAGAGGGCCTTTTTTTTTTTTTTTTTTTTTTTTTAAACTGGGGATTGAACTCAGATCCCTGTGTTTGCCAGTCAAGCGCTTATCCTACTGAGCCATCTCCCCGGCCCAGAGAGGACCTTAATGTGAGCCCAGACACAAAGAACCAGGATGCCTACAACCATCATGCTGAGAACTGGGGATTGAACTCAGGCCCTTGTGCTTGCCAGAGAAGCGCTTATTCTACTGAGCCATCCCCCCGGCCCCTAGACTGCACTTTGGACAGTATACCCAGGAGTCCATTTTACCAGAGAGGACAACTGGCAAGATATACAACAGTATACTGATTCATGGGATGCAGTGAATTGTCTACTTGGGTGGCAGGAACATAAGTGGAAAATTGATGGTACTTGATACTTTGAGATGAAAGTTGTGAGTAGACCTATGTATATAGGCAGCAGGTGTATTACATTTGAATCCTATATAAATGTTTATTAAAATGTGACCTCAGTAGAAGAGAATTTTAACAATTGGATAAAGTCCATAACCTTCAAGAATGAAGGTAAGGGTCTTCACATTAGGAAAAGAACCAGCTAAGGTGCTTGCAGATATTCAAATATAGAATGGGATACAATGAGTTCTAAATACATGCTATGGTCCCATGATCAGCTACAGAAATGAGGATTATAACAGACCTTTCTTAATATTCTTCCACTGTGATGTATTGATAGACTTAAACTTGATTTAAGTCTTATTAAATCTATTGTAGGGTTGCAGTTATGAAATGTTAGGAGTATCCATTACACTCTCAATGAAACAAAAACAACAACAAAGAACAACTTTCCTTCTATTCAAGGGAGGGGAATTAGTGCACTTCCATTTGTATGCAAGACCTATGTTAGCATATTTATGAATTCATCTTTGTTTCTGGAGACTATGGTTTATTATTATTTTTTAATGATTTTGTTGAGAGGCAAATGGCAATGAGACAGTTTCAGAACTGATTAGTGGGACAGGTTCAGTGCTTAATACATTGTATATTGTTGTCTTAGTGATTGATCATTGTACAGGGTACAGACATGATGTCCTGTCCACAGACACTATTATAAGAAATCTTTGTATTCATTGAATTAAGAGAATGTAGTTGT